AGAACATTCTCCATGCTGTTCTCAAGGTTGGCTGAGTTCCAGCACACGCATTAGTAGGACAGGAACTCTGCTGGTGTTGGGATCAGGGGAGTTAAGATTGAAACTCCGGTCAGCACCTTAGCCGGGGCTGGATCAAAAACATCTAGAGTCAGACCAAGCAGTTTATTTATTTGTTTGTTTGTTTTGACACATTTAAACACAGTAAGATTTGGGGGGAATGTCTCCTTATGACAATTACCACAACAAAGCTTCAGGAGTGGCTACATCGAAACTTCCTTGGAAAGTACATCTTTGTAGCAAGGCACCTGTGACCTTTGGCATAAGAATGAGTTTTACTGACTGAGAAAGTGCTCAGGCATCTGGGCCTAGGGAGGAAGGGTTTAAAGATGGGTTCAATTAATTGAGAATGCCGGGGACCTGGGGCCTCTTTCATAAGGATGGGTTCTATTTACTGAGAGACAAAGCTCAGGATTAGGGCCTAAACAAGGCTCAGGATTTGGGGGATTCAGGAAGGCTGGCTCCATAGAATCGCAAAAGATCACCAGGTTGTTAGACAACATCCATTCTATCCTTCTGGTTGAACAGGCATCAGTCATGTCCTTTCCTTGAAGAAAAAAGCCTGCATGTTTAACAATTCTGGTTTTTCTAATGTTTTCTGTAAGGTGTGCCTTCTACATGCTAAAAAACACATGGAAGCCTCACAGGGACACAAGACCCTCCGGCAACTCCAGGGCCCCCCAGTCTGGGCTCGCCTCCAGACTTTACTTTCAAAGGCAGCCCGCCCTCCATCCTTCAGACCCTCATCCCCTTGCCTAGCAGAAACCTAGCTATTGTCAGAGGCAGACAGCCCTCGAGGAGTGGTCTTACAGATCTGGGCCTGAGCTACAAAACCAGCAAGCAGGCTTGAGTTGGCCCCCAGCTCCACCCGGCTGTGTCTAAGGCCTGCCCTGTTCCAAGAGCTGGCAATCCTACACAGCGGGGTACCAAGGGACAGGTGCTCATCTTTCCTGCTCACAGCTCAGCTTCTGGCTTGTGCCTCTATATTAGATTTAAAGAGAGTTGTAGGTGTTTTGTTTTGTCTAAATAAGAGAAGAAAATATGGTGCCATAAGAAGAGCCTTCTGCAAGCACCATGGCATTCGGAGCAGACGGAGTACGGGGAGGGGTGTGTCCCAAGCTAGAAGACCCATATTGTGTCTCAGTTAGAAACACAGACTCACAGATTGGGGATCTGGAGACCTGCTGCTGCCGTCAGGCCTGTGTCTGGCCCCAAGGCTCCTTGTCACCACTTAGCTCAGAATATAGGGAGGGATCCCTGATGGACGAGGAGCTGGGACGGTACCGTCCCTGGAGATGTTGGTATCTGAATGACTACAACAGAGGTTCCTCCAGTGAGCAATGAAGTAAAGGGACAAACCTCACATGAGTGTACTCAGCCCCGGGGGTCCCTGGGACATCTGACAGTCAAGGGTCCAGGTATCCTTCAGAAATGAAGCTCTGGCTGGATTTCCTCTACAGGTCACTCAGGAGCAGCAGCTACATCCCGGGGAGCAGCATCAGGGTCACTTCAGAGGGCAGGACAGTGTCCTGGCCACAGTGTGAGATCACAGGACGTGTCCCATCACTACTGTGTCCTTGTGCAAGTCGATTCAACCTTCCAAGGGCTCTACTTGCCTAGGCAGCCATGTTGATACCAAGAGTACCCACTCCAGGTTTAATATGAGAAGGAAGGGTGGGATGGAAAAGTGCGAGGACTGGACTCGCTGTCGGCATCCAGCAGCGGTGGGTGCTGTTGCCGCCTGGCATCCGCCTGGCATCCAGCAGCAGTGGGTGCTGTTGCTGCCTGGCATCCAGCAGCAGTGGGTGCTGTTGCTGCCTGGCATCCAGCAGCAGTGGGTGCTGTTGCCACCCGCCCGTCTCAGGAGCAGGAAGCCTAAGCCCTTACATATGCTAATTCCATCATTCTTCAAAATGCCCCATAAAGACTGTCCATTATCACCCCCCTCCCTTAGAGGGGGAAGAACCTGAGGCCCAGAGAGGTTTCTTATTTTGCCCAGAGTCACAGAGCATGCTAGTGAGTGGCAGAACCCAGCTCTCATGTGCATGGTGGCAATGGGGAGGCAGGACACCTCTTCTTTGCTGACACCTACTGGTCTCCAACCTGGCTAAGGCCTAGACTGGACCCTGGGAAGTGAGAGGCAGATACAGTTCCCAAGTCAGGGAATCAGATGGAGACAAGCCAGAAAACTTCCACCTAGCAGGAAAAGAGAGAATACATTTCTGGAGAGTTTGCGGCCAACTCTCCGGAGACCATAGAGAGCCATTTGGATCAAGAGTAACAAAGCTTCCATTTTGCTCTGGGCCTGGGCTCTGATGGGAGAGTACAGGCTCCCTCTGAAGATGTCTGTGGAAACTTGCCCCAGACACTTATTATTCTTGGTAATTCCAAATGCCAGGGACTCCTGCTTTCACTGGGAAAGCCCAGAATGCCCTATTCACAGCGCACAGAAGGCCCTGCCGAGCATTCAGCCCCGAGGCCAGTCCTTGTGATGCCCGGGCAGTGTGGACAAGGGACGCCATAGTCTGACTCTTTTTCCTTTGCAGGGATGAACATGGCAGTAGGTCTGAGGCCAGCTACCTCCCGACACAAGGATGGCACTCTGTGGCTAGCAATGACCCCTTCCTTCAAGGGCTCAAGGCACATCTGAGGAAAGAGACTGATCTTACAGATGGCCAAGCTCTGCCTCTGCTTCTCTATAAAAATATCAACTTCATTCTTCCAAGGAAATGCCAAAATCCTATCCTGCCAAGAAAAAAGAGGAACTGGGGCTTGTTTTCAAAGGGGAGGACCTCTGTGTTAGGGATATGGTTCAGTCTCAGCTGGTAGAAGACTTGCCTCGAATGCATAAGACCCTGGGTTCCTCCCCCCATACCATATAAACCAGGCGTGGTGGCTCATGCCTGTAACATCAGAACTTAGAAGGTAGAGGCAGGAGGATCAAGAGTTCACAGCCAGCCTGGGCTACATGAGACCTTGCCTTAAAAAAAAAAAAAGTTAAAGAAGTAAAATGAGGACTTTGTGAGGTCTGTCCTGGAGCAGTTCATTGAGGTTCTAAGGTCCAAGGCATTCTTAGCTGCTGACGTCTGCAGGGTGCAGGGCAGACAGGGACCCAGCTAACAGCCCCGCTAGAGACTCCTGGATGCCTTGTTCCTCTATAATTCTCCTTGCCTAGGAAAATAAGAAAGTGAGAACTTCCCCATTGCTCTTACCTGAGACCCATACTGTTTACTAGGAGTACAGGCTAGCCTGATGGGTCCCTGCTCATCTCCAGCCACAGGCAGAGGGCCGTGCCCGCTGATTGAATGGGTTTCCTGGGAGGTGTGAGGGCCCATGGCTCTGGTTAACTTGTCTGCCTGTCAGGCTGCCACATGCCAAACCACAGCTAGACTTGAAATGTCAACTAAAACCACCCTCGACTACCACATCTTCCAATAGTGCACTTTCATTCTCATTTGCGCCCCATCCCCACCACACACACACACACACACACACACACACACACACACACACGTGCACACACACGTACACGCACTTCCTTATTCATCTACATCATAGCACTTGTACCACTCTTAGGCCCGTTTGTCTCCAATCTCGTCTACACCTCTCCTCTCTTTCCCAGGGTGCCATGTGGCTTCTGAACTAGATTCGGCCAACGGCAGAGACTGTGAGAACACAGAAGGTCCAGGAAGGGTAAAGCTGGGGACAGAATCCCGGCCTTCCTCTCAGCCCTGGAGACAGCTCTCAGCTGCTGCCTAATCCAGCTTCCCCAGGTGACGCCAGCCCCAGATGCAGCCACAGCACATCTTTCTATTGGGGGGTCTCACCTAGAGGTGGTGACTGCCCTCTACGGCATGTCACCTGGGGCAAATCTCTCCCCTGTTTGTATTCTCAGATCTTCGTGAGCCATGTAACCAATTCCTTGCACTGAAATTCTATTTCCGGTATTTGGGTGGTTTCTGTTTTCTGGTTAGACTCAGACCAGTCCAGGCCTTATCACAACTTGTCGTTCTTGTACTAATTTATACAGTTACTTAATTCTTGCCCCCGCCCAGTGTAAGCTCCACGGGGCAGAAGCTTTATCTATAGTGCACATTGGGACACTGCAGTCCCAGTGCATGCTTGGCAAACAGTGAAGCATGTTAACAGAAAATGGAAACAAATAAAACTAGTGTCTTACCTAAATTCCCAAAGAGGGGAATGCTATGTGAAAATGGTGTGTGCTTCCACCTCTAATCTGTTACCATGGCAGCAGCAGGGGAGCCTGGGAGGTGGCTCAGGTGGTAAAGTGCCCATGGCACCATCATGAAGTCCTGAGCTCTGTCCCCAGGACCCACATAAACATCTGGGCCTGGTGTTATATGTTTATAATCCCAGCACACGGGAGGCAGGCACAGGCAGGTTCTTGGAGTCAGTTCACGGGTCAGCCAGTCTAGCTTAGCCAGAGAGCCCCAGGTCTCATTGAGAGACCCCAAAAAACAAGGTGGATGTTCCAGCAGCTCACAACCACCTATAGTTCCAGGGGATCAGACAGGCACACTCAAACATGCATATACCCACACATAGACACACATGCCTACACATAATTTAAAATTAAAAATAAAATAAATCTTCCAATACAAAACAAGGTAGACAGTTTCTGAGGAACAGTACCTGAGGCTGACCTCTGACCTCCACATGTAGGTGCCCACACATGCCTGTGTACCCCCCACACATGTACTTGCATGCACATGAACATGCACCATCAGCAGAACAGTGGCTTTTGATCTTTTCAAGCAGGCAGAGGCAGCAAGGCATCCTTCAATAAATAGCTGTGAGTTAAGAGAGTTAAGTGGCCTTGGTTAAGGAAGCACCAGAGACCCGGGGACATGTCATCTCCCTCAGATGTCCCAACTCAGGTCACACAACTCTACGCACATGAAAGCTGGGCCCTGGGAACAAACCTTTTTGCCGTCTCCACAGACTTCTGCTCTGCCAGCTCCTTCTGGAGCTCCCTCTCCTTGGCTTCCTTCTGCCCGATGGGACAGTCCTCGGGGACAGTGAACAGGGACATAACATCTTTGCTGTCCTCTTCTCGGAGCACCTTAGCAAACACCTTCTCCGCCAACAGCCGGACTTGCTCGTCCAAATCGGACATGTTCAACTTGGGGAACTGGCGAGGCATCTCGGCTGACAAAGAAAGAACAAGTGTGAGCCTTCCTGGCTTTGTGGATGTCCCGAGTCCCCGAGTGGAGAACAGAAGGCCACTGACCCCAGGCCTGGTCCTTGAGTCAGCTGTGGATATGGAGATGGGTTCCCAGAGCGAGCCCAGCAGACCAGATTGCAAAATTAGTTTCATAAGTAAGTGGGTGTGAAGCACCCAGGGCGGCTCACATTTCATAAGCAGCAAATGTCAGAAATCAAAGAACGGACTAATCATCTAGGCTCCTCTGTTTCTCCAACCTGTGGGAATGGGCAGCCCCACCCTCCTAACTTCACTTCCAAAACTGAGGGGGTCAAGAGAGGGCCTGGAACAACCCTTCTCCAGTCTGCCAGGGGCCACCACCACCACAGCACCACCCCAGTTCACACCTGCTCCTCCAGAGGGAAGGCCCAAGCTCAGGGCTACCCATGAGCATCCATAGAGCCTGGAGATATCCAGGAGTACTCTTCATGCAAGAAATAAGGCCTGAAAAGAAGGACTCTGAGACCAAAATCCCAAATTCCCCCCAACCTTCCAGAACTATCTAACGGGACACAGCAAATACATCAAAGGCTTTGAAAAGTAACATCCTTTACGCAGCTGAAAATTCACTTCCTAAAAGAAGCTTTCCTCATCCTCTTTACATGTTGTTCCCCTACCCCTCCCTCTCTCCCCCCTTCTCCCTCACTGTCCTGAGCATATTCACTGGCTGCATTCACCTTGACTGTTGAGTCCAGATGTCTCCCCCGCTCCCGGGAGCTTTGTAAGATGTGGGGGGTGGGGGGCGGGTTGTCCCCAACTACCCATTACCAGTTTCTTTAAGGCTGTTTCAGGTGGTTTTGTTGGCCAGGCTGGATGAGGGTGGGATGGGCCTTGCTGCTCTCCATCAAGAACAGGAAGCAATTACAGGGGCTCATTAGGCCATTTTGGGTCAGTCACTCTTAGGTCTCAAATTTTTTCTCATCTGTGAGATTAAGGGACGGTGTAACTGGTCTCTAGGGCCCTCTTACTGTAAGTGGCGCAGTTCTAGGTAGTGGAGAGGTTTCCTATGCTGGAGGTTCAGTGCACGGGTCTTCTCTGTCGCATTTGGGGCTAATTCATGACACACACAGGAAGGAAGAAAACGGTTTGGTAATGGGCAGCCAGAGCCATGTCTGTGGTCTTGATTCTGAAACCAAATCCCTCCCTCCCCCACACCCCAGGAACGTGCCTTTCCTGGGCCTCTCAGTCTAAGGAAGATGAGAGGGGAAGGGTGAGGAGGGGGCCTCAGCATCCAACCATGAGGGTCCAGGGAGGAGCCAGGGACTGCACATCAGCCAAGAACAAGCAGAAGCCTGTCCCCTGCAGGGAGGAAGAGGAACAGAGCTGGCTGTGTGGGGCTGGGGGCAGTGAGAGCAGAGGCTGAAGACAAGGTGACTGGGAGGGTGCTCGGGCAGCACCAAGAGCCAGGCTTGGAAGGCAAGTGGGAACAATGTGAGCCTGGCCCCCACTCCTAGTCCATTGGTCAAGAGCAGTACCCCAAACCTCACGTCACATCTCAGACGTAGACGCAGAGAGACCCAGACAAAGGGCAGCAGACACAATACTGCTGGAGAAGTGAACCTTCCTGAAATCACCAAGAAAATAATCTGAACTAGGAAACAGGAGCAGCCACATCTTTAAAATCCTATGAAATAATAGTAAATAAGGAATTAATATACAAAACTGTGCTGTGCTTTGATTACAATGACACAAAAATGTATTCCCTTATGATGAGGGTCATGGGAGTGTTACACACTCAAAATGACCAGATGCCATGGGAGTGTTACACACTCAAAACAACTTGATGGCATGGGAGTGTTACACACTCAAAACAACAAGATGGCATGGGAGTGTTACACACTCAAAACATCAGGATGGCATCGGACTGTTGCACACTCAAAACATCAGGATAGCAGGGGAGTGTTACACACTCAAAACATCAAGATGGCATGGGAGTGTTACACACTCAAAACATCAGGATGGCAGGGGACTGTTACACACTCAAAACATCAGGATGGCATGGGAGTGTTACACACTCAAAACATCAGGATGACAGGGAACAGCTGTTCTGGTTTGAGTTGCTTTGTTTTTATTTTTGTTTAAGATAGAATCTTGCTGTATAGCACAGACTAACCTGATATTCACTCTAGTCCAAGCTGGCCTTAAATTTGCAGCAATCCTCCTGCCTCAGCTTCCTGAGTTCTGGGATTATAATGTATAGGCTGCTATACCCAGCTGGGATATCTCATTTTAATAGTCAATGCGACTATAATTTCATTTCTTATTTTCATTTTGTTTTCTGAGCCCGCTACGTAGCCTTGGCTGGCCTGGAACTTGCTGTGTAGACGAGGCAGATCTTCAACTCACAGATCTTCCTGCCTCTGCCTCCTGAGCGCTGGTTTAAAAGTGTGCACCACAACACCTAACTACTTTCATTTTTAAGATACTAAGATAACAGAAAGAAAATGGATGGTTTTAAGACTCCATAAGAGGACAGTAAGTCAAACTTCTTCCCCCAAGGTGTGACCGTTGGGCCCTCTCCTGCCTGACCCACACAGAAAGGTACCGGCCCAGAGGGGTCTGTACCACAGAGACCCTCCCTACCTAGCTCCTATTCTGTGTACAACCACCCTTCCACCCAACAGATGCACATAGCCTGAGCCTGACACACCACTCTGGACCTCCTCAGGAAGGGGCATTTGGGACAGCCCCATGCCTCTATGTCTTCTTACGCCACAGCCCGCCATCTCCACCCCTGAAGCACTGTTTCCTAAGTCAACCAAACACTCTTCAAGCATCTTCCTTACACTTGATCTACCCCTTTTTCCTCAGCTTGAACCTGCCTTCCTCAAACTGGGCCCCAAGAGAAGATACACCTCCTGGCTAGGCGGGGCCTGAGAGCAATAATGGAGGAGACGCTGCATTCCCCAGGTCCACCAGGCACACAAGAGACTCCAGGATCATGGACAGTGCTTCCCCGTTGGGACCCTTTCCTTTTCTCTTTTACGTCTTTATTAGTGTAAATTCATTGTATGAAATCACAGGTTTCATTATATCATGTTCATACGTGTGATGTATTTAGTCATTTCCCCACACACATTATCTCTTCCCTCCTGCCCCCTCCCACCAAGATCCTTTTCTTTTCAGAACTTGCAGGAAGCAGCTAAAGGATTGTGACGAGTGTCCCACACAACCGGTGAGGACTTTGGTCCCAGTCTTGCAAATGGACCTCAGTGGGCCCTGACCCCGAGCACATCTGCTGCTTCTGGCCATCCTAGATGGATGCCCTGCCATCCCTCCCCGTCTCAAACTCCTAGCACCTGCCAGGCCAGTCTTGCCAAGGAAAGCCCACTCTGCAGATGCCAAGTAGAGCTCAGTTCCAGCTGCCCCATCATGCCTGGCTCTCGACCATTCACCAACTGAAGCCAGCAGGCTGGTAAGGCTTAACTGTGAATTCACCAGCATCCGTCAGCTAACGATCTCGCTTATCTTATTGCTACACACACACAGCACCCTCTAATGAGCGTGAGCCGTCACCCAGGAGTTGGAAAGCACTAAAACACTACCAGTTTCAACAAACAGCAACTTCCCACGGCGGCACTGTGGCCCCTCCGGAAAGGTGGCCCAATGCCACCAAAATCCTGCCTTACGCCAGCAGACCTGTTCCCTCCTCCTGCCGGAACCTCAGTGCAGAACCCATGTCACAGACCTGAGCCTGGCGTCTCCATAAATGATTCTGAGGATGCCACACAGGCGACGTGCCGCCTGTGCTGCCTGGAGCTGAGTCAGGGCTGGAGCAGCTAGCTGGGTCCTCCCTGCTGTGGCTGGGGTGGGAGGTCTCTGCTTTGCATATCTGTGAGCAGGAAAAGTCTGGGCTGGAAATTCTCCTGCGAATACGAAATGCAAGTGGAAAATTTCCAAAAGCCTTAAAGGCCTCAGGTAATGCCGGTTATCCAAGGCAAAATGGATGTAGGATCCTGAACACCACGTCCTGGCCCTGCTCCCAGCCTTCACCAGAAGAAATGAAAGCAGCCAGCGCCGCTGCCCTCCGGGGCAGCCACACAAGATAAGCTGCCCTCCCTCTGACGCCCAGGCTCCAATGAAAGCTGAGTGGGGACTGGTGAGACCATCACCTTGGCTGCTTCCTGTATGAACCCCACTTTAGGCTTGATGGGACAGAGGGCTCACCTCATCGAGGAGGTTCACCTACGGAGGGACTGCTCTGCCTGTTCTCAGCAGCCCCATCATGCAAAACAGCCCTCCTGAAGGTACCCCACAAGTGGACAGGAAACCCAGAGCCCAACACTACCTCCTCCTTCCCCTCCCCCTCAAAAAAGAGGAAAGGACTATGAACTGCTTCCTCCTTGACCAGGAAAGAACAGAGCCCAGAATAAGGAGTGGCCTCCACACAGAAGCAGGCAGCTGGGGGGCAGGCAGCAGAGATGAAAAGCCTACCTACCCTCCCTCTTCCTCCCTCTCTTCCCTAAAAGAAGCCACACTTTCCAGTGACCGGACAGCCTGACAAGCGCTGCCAGACTCCCTTCAACACAGTCTCCCCATCTCTCTCTCCCTTTCTCTCTCTCTCTCTCTCTCTCTCTCTCTCTCTCTCTCTCTCTCCTCCTCCTCCTCCTCCTCCTCCTCCCTCCCCCCCCTCCTGCACATGCATATGCACACACCATGCTCACAGAAAAAACAAAAACACCCCAAACCTGGCCTGACCAGGTTCACTGCGGCCCTTCTCTTCTTACCACTACTCACAGTAGTGTCCCAAAGTGCAGGCTGGATTCTTTAACTGTCCTTTCGTAAGTGACCCCCAGAGGACAACCCAGACATATAAAGATATAAAGGGCGTACACAAGCCCTGTGTATACCCTTTCCTCAGCCCTTTAGAAAATGGAGAGGCTCTGGAGCTACACACAGCCTTCCGGTGACTTCGACAAACTGTGTGGGTCTAGGAAATTCCCCTGAGTAAGATGGCTATTTCCACGGTGCTGTTGAAATCCTAGGAGAGGAGCCCAGAAAGAGCAGGTCAGTTGTTTACCAGGAGGCTAGCTGTGGCCCAGTCTTGGACCTGAGTCACCGCCTCATGTCCAGTGGAGAGGCTGTGCCTTGCCTTGCAGTGCCTACCCTGTGACTCCTGTGAGCCCGGAGCAGGGTTACAGTGCTGACACACGACCTGCTTCTGGCCTTCAGCAACCCGGAGATTACAATCCACCTGTCCACACAACTGTTTCATCAACAGTGCCGTCAGCAGGCCACCCACAACCTGAAGGGGAGCAGTGTTTGGTCATTAAATAATTCAGTGTGTGTATTATAGCATGGGGGAAGGGGAAGCCAAGCCCATAAGTTGTTCTGTCGAGGGGCTAACGAGATGGCTCAGTGGTTCAGAGTGCTTCTGCCTCTTGCACAGGACTTGAGTTCAATCCCAGCAGGTACATCAAGCAACCACTTAGAACTCTAGCTCTGACACCCTCTCTGACCTTTGGACACACACACATACACACACACACACACACACACACATACTCTGTCAAGTGACAGATGGAACAAATGATTCTCATGGCTGGCATTTTGGAAGGCAATGGTATGTGGGGAAAGTGATCATCCTGGACCATGGCTCTAAGTCCAACACACTCAGGTAATTTTACTCTCCAGCTTTAATGGGATTCTAGATAGCCTTGGTCTAAACAAAGTGCAGTCTGTAGAACCCAAAAGGGAAGAGGATCTGAAAATACTGCTTTCTTTTATAGGGATTCTCACACAGTTTCTGGTTTGGTTTGGGTGTTGTTGTTATTTTCAAAACAGGGTCTCACTATGTAGTCCTGACTGTCCTGGAACTCACTACATAGACCAAGCTGGTCTCGAACTCAGAGATCCACCTGCCTCTGCCTCCTAAGTGCTGGGATTAAAGGCATGTGCCACCTCTGTCCAGCCCCGCACAATCTCTACTAGCAGATACATCAGTGGGAAGTCCTTCGGTAAAGAGAGCTACTGAACATACTTCAATGGCCATCCCATCATGGGAAAGGACACCTATTAATATCCCATGGCATCAGAGCTAGGAAGCACCTTCCTCTTGGTCTTCAGTTTCCAATCTAGAGAAAGCTGCCATCCTGAGACCAAGCTAACTGTGTGGCCAGCTCCACCAGGTCTAGACAGAGGAGTGAGGCATTTCTGCTCCCATGACGGGGGCAGAATGATGGCCAAGGGCCTTTAGTGCTAAATGAACGGGGACAGCTCCGTCTCAGGAGCACCTGTGATGCTCAAGACCTCACGGCTGACCTTGAGACTGGCATATTGCTGCTTCTTGTGGCCCACATGCCTCAGTGGACTGACTGAGAATTGTTCATCCCTTGCTCAAAGCCTCAGTTCTGTGCTTGTTTGTGTGTGTGTAGGTGTGTGTGCAGATGCACTCACCTCAACATGTGGATGCCAGAGGTTAATGTCAATTTCCCCAATTGCTCCTCACCTTATCTTTCTGAGACAAGGTCTCTTTCCTGAGCTGGCCACTGTTGAGCTAGTCTGGCCAGAAGGCCCCAGGACTGGCCTGTCTTGTCCTCCTCATACTAGGGTTACAGATGAGCACTGATGTGCCCAGTTTTTCTGTGTGTTCTGGGGATCTGAACTCAGGTCCTCATGCTTGAGCAGCAAGTACTAAATTCACTGAGCTGTCTCCCCAGCTTCCTCAATTCCCTCTCAGTCCCTCCTGAATGGCTGTCAGGATGACCTAAGATAACAAGACCCAAGACTTGCATCTCCTTCTCCAGAGACCAGGGTGTGTTCATTTATGTCACTTAATTGTCCCTACATGGGAGACAGCAAAGGCTGGAATCAAATTATGACTCGTCATGAAACACAGCACTCTGCTCTCTAAAAGCAAGGCACAGGCTTGCCTAGAGAAGCCAATTTCCTTCTTGTTTCTGAGACGTGTTACAAGAGTTGGGCACCTGTGAAATATCACATCCACACATTTGTCTCATTTGCTATTATATCCCAGTGCCAAGCACACACACACACACACACACACATTGAATAGATGGCCACATAAGACAATGAGTGTGTGAATGGTCTAAGCCGAGGTAGAATCCCCCTATGGTGATTTCACGAGTCAGTTGTGTTGATGGTTAAGAATATGGACTCGAGTCAGACTATCTGACATTGAATCCTGTCCCACCACTGTTTATATGGCCTTGGGCAGATGATGAAATTTCTGTGGCTTTTTTATTCCCTACAATGGAAGAATAATAAAAATAGCAATGCCATGAGATGCCATGATTAATCAGTCAGCACATGAGAAGTGTTGAGACTCATCCTTAGCTCAGCATATGTGTTTTGTAGGTATTATCTGTCAGCATCATTATCTTCTTCATCATCATGATATCAGATACAAGAGAGTCCAGCAGGGAAATGAATGTGAAGTTTCACACGGACACTGACTCCTTTTATTTGACATTTATCAAACACCATGGCGGAGCTGGTACTCTCTCCCAAGTACCTACCTGGGTATGGGAAGACGGAAGGCATGTTTAAACATGAAGCCAGATCTGGGGGGAAAGCCATGGCCTCTATCATTGCTACTTCTTGGTGACTGTGTACCTCCTGAACTCCAGCCATCAGTCTATACCCTCATCAGTTCCTCATACCCTGTGTTAAAAGACAGAGCCGTTGTCTCTTGTCCTACAGCAGTCAGCACATGGAGGAAATAGATTAATATGCTTGGTAGCAGAACCAGGCCACTGAACTGCTTTAGGAGAGAAAAGTATTCTAATTCCTACTTAATCCTAAGCCTACATTTCACTTGCCCAAGATACTGTCAAGATCTGTGGTTGATCTAGAGGCCCTCTGAAGAATGACCAGCAAGAATAAAAGCAAGAAAAGGAAATATTTCATCTCAAAGAACTTCTTGATGTAGGTGAAGGCCTGTTAACCTATATGCAGGGCTTCAGGTCTGAGGCTAGGCTAAGGAGGATAGGCCTGAAAGATCAAAGAGTCTCCCACCAACACCTAGAGAGAACAGCCTCTTCGGAGCAAGCCAGGTCCCTCCAAGTTGCTTGCCAGAGGTGGAGCTAATGATGGAACAGAGCAGGCAGAGGCTCCTTCTGCCTGGCTCAGAGGCTCCACCACAGCTCATCCTTGACTCTTTGAATCTAGGGAGCCATGTCTTCTCACAGTGTTCCAGCCTAGTCCACAACTGCTCAGGACCATGCTGGACTTAGTGATGCCAGCTTTTACTCAGTAACTTGACTTATTTCTCACCAAGAAGCTTCCAGCTACATACAGTTTGGGGACAACCTAGTTGGGAGTAGTCTCCTATCCAGGGCCTCTCAGTCTTACATCACAGGCCTCTGCCAGTCTAGACCAGCCATTAGTAAATCTGCTCGCAAAGCAGCCACAGGAAGTTCTAGGGCGGAACCAACCTACTAAAGCACAAGACTGTACACCTCCCTCGCCCAGTGACAGAGAAAAGGGGCCCTCAAACGACTCATCACCCTACTATCCCGTCCACCCCTCTGCCTCCTGCTAGACGTCCACACAGCCGAACACATCCCACGGGTCTCGTGCACGCGCCTAGAAACTTGTCCCGGAGCTCAGGAGCCAGCATGTCCCGGGTCCTTTAATTTCCCTAAATCTTGTGAACCTGGTCTAAGCCAAGCACCCGGGATGCTTCAGGCTCACCGGAGGCCTGTGGAGCCCAGGCCACTGCTGGGTAGGGAAAGGCAGCACGGGGCCGGGGACAAGCTCTGGGGGTGGGCACTGCGGGAGGTTCAAGTCTCTTCGCTGTCAAGGGACTGGACGCAGGACGCCGGCCCAAGGTCGGCGGCGCAGCATCGTGCGCACTCACCGGGTTCGGAGGGCAGGGCCATGGGGGTTGGCGGCCGGGCTGGAGCGCAGGTGCCGCGCCAGGCAGGGCGCACAGGACAGCGGCTGCAGTGCACTGACGCCTGTGGGGCCGGGCGCGCGGAGCTGGACCCGACCAGGCCGCGCTCGCAGCCCGTGCCTGCCCGGCAGGAGCTCACGGCTGGCGGGGATCGAGCCGAGCGCTGCGCGACAGGGCCCGGGTGGCCGGGTGAGAGGAGCGCGAGCGGCCTGCACAGCGCAGCGGGATCGCGCACTACCTGGAGGACCCGCAGCTACCCGAGGCGCTGGGCCGTGCTGCCGGCAGGAAACCTGAGCACCCGGGAGCGGTGGCCGCCCTGTCCTCGGCCGGAAGCGAGCCCGGCTCCACCCGGGCTCCGCGGGGCTGCGACACAGTCCGGGGTCAGATGCCAGCGGGGATACCCGCTCCGAGCCTCGCTACCACCAGCCCAGCTGCAACGCCCGGCTCCAAGGTGTTTGCCGACCTCCTCCCCTCCCTACCTGGACTTTCCCCAAAACGAGATTCTGGAGGCTCGATCCCCACCAGGACACTTACTCTCGGTAGCTAAACCGATCAGCAAGCATTGGTTTTCTCCAGGTGTCAGCCGGGTCCCTTGAATCACCTTCCCGCCCCTCCCAACACACAAGCGTGCGCGTACACACACACACATACACACACGCACACACTCCCTTGCTCTCCAGCCTTCTGCGGTCTGGTTTCTATGCCCGCCCCTCAAAGTCCGGAATGACCTCCGAGTTGCCAAGGCCAGCGGGAGCTTTCTGTGCACCCTTGCTCACCTCTTTAGAGCACTGGAGTCTGTTGACCACGCCTTCCTTCCTGGAACACAGCTCCCAAAGTTAGCACCCGGTGCCTGCCGCCCTCGCACAACCACGCTGTGTGAGGCACACTTTCCACAGGCTTGGGTGACCGGTTTCTCAGCTTCCATGGCCTGGTTTTCCATTATGCTGCTTCTGCTCCGGAGAATCTCAGGACGCCAGCTCCCTGGATCACTCCCTCAGCTCACTCAGAGAATCCAGGCCCATCCCCATGGTTTTAACAGCCTCCAGCCTGCTAATAGCTTTTGAATCCCATCGTAGGCCCAGAATACTCCAGAGCAGCAGGTGCTATCATAGCAGAGAGCTTCTCAACCAGAGGGTCCCAGGCTCAACTCCTAATGGCCTGCCTGTGTTTCTAGTCTTGACATCACCAAGCATCCCGTCTTTAATCCACACTGGGGACCCACCCTTGACTTGCATTTCTTTCTCTAAGTTATTGCCACTATGTGTCTTCACTCATTGCAGAGCTGTCTCATTTAAGCACCAGATTTTATTCTTTCTACTTCATAGCCTGATGCTTACAATCTACTTATTTATAAACGATACACACATGACTGCTAATATACATTACAAAGCACACTAACAAGTTTTAAAAGATGTGATAAAGATGAACCAATAATTAAAAACAAAAACAAAAACAAAAAACAGAGTCTCACTATGTAGCCCTGGCTGGCCTGGAATTTGCTATGGAGACCTTCCTCTGCCTCCAGAGTGCTGGGATTAAAGGCATGTGCCATCACACCCAGCAAATTATTTTCTTTTTAGTGAATGGTGTGCTGTATCTTTTTCTTTGCACTTTAAAGTTGTCCACAATCTGATGAATGCACAGGGATTAAACTAGTTTACTAAACCCTAACAATAGTTTACTAAACCCTAGTTTCACAGTTAATGAGACAAGAACATATGCTTCTAAGTTCACTTAATAGCAATACGTGGTTCTAATGGCTATTGTTCTGATTTAATTTATTTTATGTGTATAAATGTCTTGCTCCCATGTATGTCTGTGTACCACCTGTGTGCCTGGTGCCTGAGGAAGTCAGAAGAGGGCACTGGATCCCCTGGAACTGGAGTTATGGGTGGTTGTGAGCCACCAAGTGGGTGTCGGAGATAGAACCTGGATCTTCTGCAAGAGCAAGTGCTCTTAACTGTGAGCCATCTCTCCAGACCCCCGGCTATTATTATTTATTTCCTAAGAAGATACATCATGCAAAGATAAAAAGAACTGTCTTTGCATTTATTAAGTCATAATTCTGTTTAAATGACACCTCCCAATCTGTAAATATGAAGTGGCACAGAAAACTGTCACTGAAATCAATATTCTCTGAGTATTTCATCAATTGTTCTTATAAATATTTTTAATACATAGGATATTTTTAATTGAGATAATGAACTTATAAGATTGTAAACATTATGCTTTCAGACCTGGCCAGTTGGTGTAGTCAGTAAAAGTACTTTCTTGAAAGCATGAGGACCTTAGTTTGGTCACATATCCTGACACTGTACCAATGCATCCCTGTAATCCCAGTGCTGGGGAGGCAGAGGCAGGAGGATACCTGGGACTTACTAGCTAGCCAGTCTAGACAAATCAGCAGGATCCAGATTCAGTGATGACTGTGTCTTAAAAAATAAAGTGGGGATAAATTGAGGAAGACATCAGACAACCTCTGGCTTTGACACATGTATGCAGACTGTAACAAAAGGGGAAAGGTGACATGTAGCCAGATGTTTCTCTGATCCTGCCTTGCCCAGCAGTCCAGACGAATTTCCCACCTGTGGTCCCACAGCCACTTATAAAATAATCACTCAGAGGCTTATATTAATTACAAACTGTATGGCCTATGGCTTCAGCTTCTTACTAGCTAGCTCTTTTTTCTTAAATTAACCCATTTCTCTAAATCTATATGTTACCATGTGGCCGTGGCATTATCAGTCTGCTCACATCTTGTTGCTCCTTTTGTGATGGGCTGGTGTCTCCCCTGACTCTGCCCTTCTTCTCTCTCTGCTTCTGCTTGGATTTCCCACATGGCTGTAAGCTTTCTTGCCATAGGCCAAAACAGCTTTATTTATTATCCAATGGGAGCCACACATATTCACAGCATACAGAAAGACATCCCACAGCAGTGACACATTTCATTTTGCCATTAAACTTACATAATAGGAACAGTCAAAATGCCACTTTTTATAGTGCAATTCTGTAATATGATTCATTTATTAAAATATCTCCTTAAAAATATCCCCCTTGCCTGATAGACATTGTGAGTTTTTTGGTTTGGTTTGTTTTTTTTTTTTGTTGTTGTTGTTGGTTTGTGTTGGTTTTGTGTGTGTGTGTGTGTGTGTGTGTGTGTGTGTGCACGTGCATGTGCATCCCCTCTACATAACACACTTATAACAGTTATAGTCAGCAGAGGTCAGCAAATTTGGGACATTTGTGCTTTGTGTTAAAGAGACACATTTCTAAATTCCACAGATAGCAAAGTTCTTGGCCCAGAGACATGAGTGAACTTCTGGCAATAGTCAGGATTTTCTGTGTCCCCCAATATTTCATTATAACTGTTATAAAGCTCCCACTGTGTTTTAAGGGTCTTTCTTAACCATATCCCTTCAACTTTATTGTGGCAGCTTATGCAGGCAAGAGTGAATGATGGGTTTCATGTGGCAGTCTTCAGACAGAGTTACCAGGGTCCTCACCGTGGGATAAGTTGTCCATTGTTGGGAACACATCCTTATCCTTAATTTACTAAACAGGATTTCATGAATGTTATCACCAGGAAGCATGGCATCTTCTGGACAATCAGAATTTCTCAGCAACTGTGGGCTTCCCTGGATCTGCCCTAGAATGGGCCCATCAACAGCAAGACATGAAAGGACCAGAGGCTCAGGGGTCCTTAACTCTCACGGCTGATAGATTCATGGACTGAAAGAGTCATTTCCCTTAGTTGTATGCCCACTAGTGACCCCACCATGCTCCAGTGGACAGCCCCAGTCCAAAGGCCCTCGTAAACTAAACAGTGCACAAAATAAAACTAAGTGATGAATCTGGGAAAGGGACTGGCAGGGAGTAGGACTGGGAAGGGCGATAGGGATGAAAGGATACCCAGAATGCACTATGTATGTCTGAAATCATCAAAGAACTAACTTGGTTAATAGAGGAGACTCATGGTGTACTGGTTAGTTTTTGTCAGCCTGACAGAAACCTAGACATATCTAGAAAGAGAGAATCTTATTGAGAAAATGCCTCCATAAGATTGGCCTGTAGATGAGTCTGTGGAGCGTTTTCTTGATTGATATGGGAGAGTCTTCCCACTGTGGGCAGTGCCATTCCTGGGCTGGTGGTTCTGGGTGCTATGAGAAAGCAGGCTGAGCAAGCCACGAGAGGCAATCCAGTAAGCAGCACTCCTTGTGTCCACTATATCAGCTCCTACCTCCAAGTTCCTGCCCTGGCTTCCCTAGATGATGGACTGCAGGCTGGAAAACTTCTCTTCCCCAAGTTGCTTTTGGACATGGTGTTTTATCACAGCAATAGAAATAGAAACCCTAGCTAAGACATATGGCAAAGACAGGAAGAAATATGTTAGCAACTTACACCCAAGTCTATACCCATCCTGCACAACACATCATATATTCTAAATTCCTTCCTTTTCCATGATGTTTTCTGAGTGTATTTTAATATGGTGCCTGTGATAGTTTGAATGTAATTGGCTCCCATAAATTTACAGGGTGTGGCACTATTGGGAGGTGTAGCCTTGGTGAAATAGGTGTGGTCTTGTTGAAGAAAGTGTGTCACTATGGGGGTGGGCTTTAAGGTCTGTTTTGCTTAAGCTTTGCTCAGTGTATTAGACCATTTCCTGTTACCTGAAAGATTTAGGACTCTTAGCTACTACTCCAACACCACATCGACCTGCAGGCCGCCATGCTCCCCGCTATGATGAGAATTGACTGGACCTCTGAAATTGTAAGCCAGCCCCAATTAAATGTTTTCCTTTATAAGAGTTGCCATGGTCATGGTGTCTCTTCACAGCAGTAGAAATCCTAAGACAATGTCCTTTATGATTGTCTTCTCTCTGGACCAATGCAGTCACTTTAACCATGGCAAACAGAGCAGCAGCTTTCTCCAATGATGTCACCTGACATTTTGTCTTTTATTCTTAAATAAGAACCTTGGCCAGGCGGTGGTGGCACACGCCTTTAATCCCAGCACTCGGGAGGCAGAGCCAGGCAGATCTTTGTGAGTTCAAGGTCAGCCTGGGCTACCAAGTGAGTCCCAGGAAAGGCGCAAAGCTACACAGAGAAACCCTGTCTCGAAAAACCAAAAAAAAAAAAAAAGATTTCTGTGGCTGAGGATAGGACTTAGTGGTAGAGCATGTGTGTAGTATGCACAAGGCCTGAATTCTGTGGAGTCGGAAGGGAGAAGGAGAAGGAAAAGCAGGAGCATCTCCTAGGGACTCATTAACTCTGTCATTTTTCTGAGTCTGTTGTTCATATTATTATCTGTCTCTGGGCCTTTGCA